CATCGAAGTTCAGCACGCTTCACCTGGTCGGCGATCTGGTCTTGCTCCTGGGGGCGATCGCGCCGGATGAGGACAAGGTGTTTGTCGTCGGCCATGACTGGGGAGCTTACATCGCCTGGCACCTGTGCTTGTACAGGCCCGATAAGGTCAAGGCCCTGTTCAATTTGAGTGTAGCTTTTATTCCATGGAGTCCTGAGATGAGCCCACTGGAGAAGGCTAGGAAACTGTATGGGGATGACTATTATATTTGCAGGTTTCAGGTAGAATTTTTGACAAATTGAACTTGATGTCTTTGTTGTTTGCTCGATCTAATTTATCAGATGTTAATGTTCTGATGATTTTCCGCTGGCTGTGTACTTGGATTGGATTAGAATACGCCCTTTTTTCGCTTTCCTTATTTGGATTTTGGGATGAATATGAGGATGTTTAACAATTTTGGAAAGCCAATTTAAACCATTTATCCCTTATTGTTGTTCCAGGAGCCTGGTGAAATAGAAGCTGAATTTGAAAAGATTGGCACCAAAGAATTCTTCAAGAATATGTTTGCATACAGAACTCCCGGCCCGCTTTGTTTCCCGAAAGGTAAAGGATTCGGGTACTCGGCCGAGAGGGTACCTTGGTTAACTGAAGAGGATCTTGACTACTATGTCAGCAAATTCGAGAAGACGGGTTTCACTGGTGGAGTGAATTACTACCGCGCATTCGGCTTGTAAGTAATCTCGATGGTCTTTGTATCTCAGATTTTAGACATGATTTTATTGTTTTCACCGGTCATAGTTCAGCTAGAGGCTGCATTTTGTAGTGTGGCTATTATGTGAAATTCATCAAACTTGATGACCTTGGCTTTGAATTGAGATATGGAACTCTATACTAAGTGAGTTCTTGCAAACAAGTAACAATGGAACAAGTGATTATGCTTTTAGTGGTCTCTAAAAGTACCAACTTATACTGGGTTATGTGATTTCTTCACACAAATCAAGCAATTTTACATCTTAGTAGTGTTCCTTTACACTTCCTTGAGGTATGTTCCAAAGGTTTGATAAATAAGCCAATTTGACATCTTATTATGCACCCCCTTTGGTTAGCTCAAAGATTACAGATCTGCTTCTGGTTTACGGCTCACTGCCCACTTACAAACTCACCGCGCTTTACATGTAATTCACTAGTCAAATTAGCTTCTATGTTACGAAACTGCCAAACTTCTAATCTGCCACTGTAGTTTTAATTCCTTCTCAAATACTATCAACATTTGGTTATCGGCCATCAATCTCTTTTTCTCTGAATAATTGGTGTTTGTCAATTTGTAGAAACTGGGAACTGAATGCGCCATGGTGTGGGGCCGTGGTGAAAGTGCCGGCAAAGTTTCTGATAGGGGATCTAGACCTGACCTACCACGTGCCAGGAACAAAAGACTTCATACACAAAGGCGGTTTCAAGAAGTTCGTGCCTCTGCTCGAGGATGTTGTGGTTCTGGAAGGAGCGGCCCACTTTGTCAACCAAGAAAGGCCGGACGAGGTTAACGAGCACATCTATGCTTTTCTCAAGCAGTTCTGAAATAATACTGTGTTCTTGTGTTGTAGCTACTAAAACAGAAGGCTGTCTTTGGATGATGAGAATTAGACATTTGAGGTTTTCTCCTTGTTCTAACTTTAATTGCACCATCATATAATAAATCTAGACTTTTTTTAACAATAAAATGCCCAAGGGTTTAATGTTTGCTTGATATTTGAATAGCATCTCATTATTGAATTCAAGAGCTATTCTCTAGGATGCACATTTTCCATGGTGTTGGTGCTTTTTGGGACCTCATTTTTTAGGTCTTCCCAACAATTATGATCCTTGAGACTCTTACTAACTAGGGTTCCTTGAGTCGAGGGGATATGTTCAAGGACAGAAATATTGATCGTCAAGCTACTGTCCATTGAATAACTGCAATCTACACGGTCGAAAAATAAATAACATAAGAAAATAATTTATGAAGGGTAGAGAAATGTTCAGTGCTCGGTAGAAGCAGATGCCACGACGCCATTGGCCGGAGAATCTTCATGGTGACTCAGGTGAATTAATCATGGTATGATTATCTTCCTCAGCTCCAGACAAATGAATTGGCCTGAGTTCAATTTCACTTTGTGAGTCTGATTTCTTGCCTCTCAAACACAAGGGGAGGAGTGCACAAAAGCCACTAAATATCTTCCTAATTCCAGGAAAGTTCTGAGACTTCACATGCACAAAAGAAAAAACTAAAAGCTCAGTCCAGAGAGAGAGAGAGAG